GCAACTGCAAAACCTCCTTGGTCGTACCGGCGTATCCCCAGCAGGTCGTCAAGTCATTCGAGGACACCATGCATATGCAAATCGCCGAACAGTTCGTCGACCACACATTGGCAATAACGACACCGACCGACATCATCCAAGAGTAATACTCCTGGGAATCGGGGTGTAAAGGCAGTTGCCAGTAGCCCTTCATCCAATCTAGCGTAAAGTAGACGCGCGAGTCCTTCAGCCCGCCCATTGCGACGTCGAGGTAAGGCATCGGCTCGGTGCACGCATTGATTGGCCTCGAGTCAATCATCATCCGCAGGTCGCTCGGGTGTTTCTTCGGGACTATCCTCAGGGAAGCCGCCCAACGTGATTGAGTGTTCCGATACACTAAACCCACCTCTTCCAACTCCCTCACATATTTCTCGAGAAACGCATGTGGGTCGGAGAGTACCCGACTTCACCAGTACGGTCCCAGGCTTGAGGTACACCTTCGAAGGCTCCACTCGGACTGGAGGATCTCGCCCAAACCTCAGTCGGAAAACAGCTTAAAACTCCAGCAGGAGGTCTTGGAGACCTTCAACGGCAGATTCTTTCATGCCGTCAGATGTTGTTTTGGCCACCTTGGCCATCAAGACGGTACAAACTGCCTAGACCAGGCTAGGTATCGTCCCCAATTCTGGCGTCGCGCAACACTTGCCTTCCTCGTCGTCAATATCGTCGACCAGCTCTTCCATGCGGAGGGTCCAATGGATGGCTACGACATGTGTTGTGTCCGGCTAATCGGGGAAGTCCCATACCGCATGCTGCCGAAGCGCAGTTCTCGAATAGCGTCTGCTCACTATACCCGAGCTTCTGCATCACCGGCATCCCAACGGTCAGCTCCACAGCAGCCTAGGCTTCGTCGATTCAAACACGAAGGCTACGTAACATAAGCGGTCCACACCCCGTGTTGAACTCGAGGCGTTCAAGACGAACTTGCTTCGTCACGATGATTGGTCGACTGTCCATGCCATACGGCCAGAGGGTCGTGGGCCCCATGACCATAATTTGAGGAGATGCACCCGCCGCCAACAACGCTAAGACTAGACTACATGAAGGAACCGACAGGTCAGCATCCGAGTATGTAGTGAGGCTCGGACCGGTACGACACCATTCACCGTAGCCGTAAGTTCTTCGCGGTCCACCTTAACGGCACTCGTACGCATCGTCGCTACATGACGACCAGGTGCTCCTCGTCCGCGTCAGCCCGACCGGCACCACGGCTCGTTTTTGACCAAGCGCCCGTCCATGTGTTTTAAGCAGTCGCGCGTCTTCCTGGTTCATGATTCCAGGACACTCACGGACCTTTTCAGTGGTTGCTTTACATTTTAACCAGCCGCTGCTAGTCGTCGAACTAATCGGTGCATGAGACGTAGG